TTGGCTTTTAGATCACCCGGGACAGAGCACAGCGCACCATTACCCTGACTCAGTCAGACATAGTGCAGCAGGTCCTTCAGCGCTTCGACTTCACGTATTCCTCGCCTCACGCCACTCCTCTGTCTACTCGCCACTCGCTCTCAGCTCTGCCTTCGGATGAGTCCGTAGAGCCGAGTGGCCCGTACCCAGAGCTTGTTGGCTTCCTCATGTACCTGATGACCTGCACTCGACCTGACCTTGCATACCCTCTTAGCATCTTGGCACGCTATGTTGCTCCTGGGAGACACCGACCAGAGCACATGGCTGCAGCGAAGAGGGTGTTGCGCTACTTGTGCAGTACGTCGGGCATGGGGCTAGTGCTTGGAGGGCGGCGTTCAGTGGTCCTCACAGGTCACGCAGATGCTTCTTGGGCTGACGACCAGGCTACGCAGCGGTCGTCACAGGGTTACACTTTCAGCCTTGGTTCCGACTCTGTTTCGTGGCGGTCTACCCGCTCGTCTTCTGTTATTGGCTCCAGCTGTGAGGCTGAGATCTATGCGGGGGCCATGGCTGTAAAGGAGCTACGCTGGCTCACCGACCTGCTGAGTGACCTAGGAGAGCCGCCTCGTTCTCCTCCAGTTTTGTACGTATACAACAAGGCCATGCTGGCCTTGTGTCGGGAGCACAGAGTGGAGCACAGAACGAAGCACATTGCTCTTCGCTACTTCCTTGCTCGTGAGCTGCAGCAGCGTGGTCAGCTGCGCCTTGCTTACGTGACCTCTGAGGCCAACACTGCTGATATCTTTACCAAGGCACTTCCGCCTTGTGATCATCAGCGCTGCTGTACGATGCTAGGTCTTGTGCCTACTTGGCCTCACTTACTCACTTCTTGACCTTGCTTGTACTGTGATCTTTCTATACCTGCACTTGCTTGTTTACCCTTATATATGATCTTGCATGTGAACTGGCCTTGTGGCCTTGAACTTGTGCTCGGAATGTGTTGTGACGTTGTGATCCACCCTGAGCTTGCTTTGCTTTGCTTGACTAGTCTTGTGACCTCTTGTTCTCTCCACTTTGCCTATGGGGGTGTGTCAAACTCATATGCTATAGTCTGTGTAGGCTGTAGTGGGGTAGACAATATGGGGTACAACACTTTTAGGTTTTCCTACTTGTACCCACCTGTTCGCCATTGCATTCACTCTTCGTTCTTTCACACTGGAGCCGGTGGTGCTGTAGGCGCTAGAGCTGGAGACCCTGGAGCTCGAGGCGCTGGAGCTGGAGGTACCGGAGGTACAGGAGCTGCTGGTCCTAGTGGTGCCGGAGATCCTACGGGTGTCCCGTCCCGACGAGAGCCTCTTTCTCCACCGCAGCTGCGCAAGTGGTTGGCTCGGCGCTGGAGCAGTCGAAGTGGCGCTGCTGGAGCCGAGGGGCCTGCCGCTAGAGGCCCTGGCGCTGGAGGCACTGGAGCTGCTGGTCCTGGAGGTACTGGAGGTGCTGGAGCCGCTGGACCAGGAGGTGCTCGTACTGGAGGTACTGAAGCTGCTGGAGCTGGTGGTGCTGCTGCTGCTGCTGGAGGTGCTGGAGCTGCAGGTCCCAGAGGTGCTCATACTGGAGGTATTGGAGCTGCTAGAGCTGGTGGTGCTACTCCGACTGGAGGTTCTGGAGGTGTTGGAGCTGCTGGTCCTGGAGGCGCTCATGCCGGAGGTACTGGAGCTGCCGGAGCTGGTGGTGCACCTGCTGCTGGAGGTACTAGAGGTGTTGGCGGTACAGGAGTTGCTGGACGTGCTGGAGCTGCTGGAGCTGGTGGTGCTGCAGGCGCTGGAGCTAGAGACCCTGCAGCTGGAGGTGCTGGCGCTAGGGGTGTTGGAGCTGTCGGTACTGGTGCTGGAGGCACTGTGCAGCACCGTTTTTCGTTCCGCCGTCGCCATCGTCTCTACCGCCACTTGGCTCGGCACTTCGCCAGGTCCTTAGTCTCCCGTCTTCTACTGGCCTTACCCCTCCCTTCCTGTGTCCACCGCCTAACCTGTTACAGCCACAGCTACAGCCAGACTCCCCACTGCCTGCTCCTTCTCCTTACACTAAGAAGTTAGACTCTCTTACAGAGCGTCGTGAGCCTGCGTCTAGCCCTGCCTTGCCTGTTCGCGCTGGTCGCACTGGTAGTCGTGTTCCGCGTCCGCGTCCTCCTCCTGTCCCTGGCACACACCATATGGCACTTCGTCCTTCCTCTGTTCCACCGCGTATCCCTCTGTCGTCTCCTCCTGCGTCCTCTCTTGCTGACGGACCGGACCCTAAGTCTGCCCTCCTTCGTGCTGCTAGTCCTACTATCACGCGTGTTCTGGCCATTGTTGTCACTGACCCTTTGTTTGAGTCCACTGCTGCGTCTGCCCTAGTTGCTGAGCTTGTTGACTTTGCTGCTGCCTGTCGTCTCGACTACGCCGCTAGTCTTGTTGCTGAGTCTGAGTCTATCTGTCCTCTGTCCGTCGGGGGTGAGTGTGCTCTTGGCACGGACGTCCTTGAGGATAGGCAGGAGGACTTTGAGTGTTTTGCACCTGCTGTACCTCATCTCGTGCCCATGCTGATTCCACCTGAGGGAGACCCGGATGCACCAAATATCCCGACCCCGTGCTCTTACGCTGAGGTGATTACGGGTTCCTATTCCTCTAAGTGGCAGACAGCCATGGACACAGCGATGGCATCCTGGAAGTCCACAGACACTTACGTCGACGCAGTTCTCCCTCCTGGGGCGAATATAGTCGATGGCATGTGGATTTTCAGGGTGAAGCGGCCGCCGGGTTCTCCGCTTGCCTTCAAGGCTTGTTATGTTGCACGAGGCTTCAGTCAGCGACAGGGAGTTGACTTCTTCCAGACCTTCTCCCCTACCCCGAAGATGATTGTGTTACAACATGAAACTCAATGAATTGATAGAAAATGTGAAGTAGAACCCTAGATATAGCAAACCCTAATCATGCAAAGAAGTAGAAATGTAACACCTAGACTAACCTAAATAACACATAAAATATATGTTGACACACCCCCATAGTCTAGGTGACGGTAATCCTGGGGAAAAACATCACATATCGCAGGGCGGGACTCAAGGACACACACAGTCTGAGAGCAAGCAAGAGTCACATGACCAGTCAGCAAGGACAAGCAAGGGTCACAAGACCAGTCCACAAGAAGAAGACAAATCTCAGAGTGGAGCTCAAACTCACCACACACTCCAAGAGCAAGCAAAAAGGGCCACAAGGCCAGTTGACATGCATATATATAGCAAATATAATGAGATGCAAGAGTACAAAACAAGAAGGACAAAGCATCTCTACGTAAGCAAGTGAGGACGAGCTGGCACAAGGCAAAGCTGGGTGCAGAAACGCTGGTGTTCACAAGGCGGCAACGCCTTGGTGAAGATATCTGCCGTATTGGCCTCAGAGACCACACGTCGTACGAGTGCCTGGCCACGCTGCTGCAACTCACGCAGAAGGAAGTTACGAAGTTGGATGTGCTTCGCCTTCCCAACCAGTCGGGGCTCCTCACACAGCAGGACAGCAGACCTGTTGTCAGCGAACAAGACTGGGGGAGAGCGAGGCCGCTCACCAAGGTCGGTGAGAAGAAAAGACAGCCAGCGAAGCTCCTGAGCAGCCATGGCCGGAGCGTACACCTCTGCCTCACAGCTGGAACCGGCGACGGACGATGCCTGAGTCGACCGCCACGAAACAGCACCTGCCCCGAGGCTAAAGGATTACCCCTGTGTAGACCGACGCGTCTCCGCGTCGTCGGCCCACGACGAGTCCGAGTAACCAGTGAGTGTAACTGGCTGCTTCCCTCCAAGGACAAGTCCCATGCCTGATGTACTTGCCATATACTTCGCCACCCTCTTAGCCGCGTACCAGTGGGACGGTCGGTGTCTCCCAGGCGCAACAAAGCGCGCAAGGACGCTAAAAGGGTAAGCTAGGTCTGGGCGAGTGCAGGTCATCAGGTACATGAGACAACCCACCAGCTCAGGATATGGACCGCTGGACTCAAATGGCTCGTCCAAAGGTGGAGCCGTGAGCCCATGATCCACTCCAAGAGGGTTGAGCTGTACCTTGGAGAATGGGAAGCGGGACCACTTGAGGATCTGCTCGACCATATGCGACTGCGTCAGCGTAATGGTGCGAGCTGCCCTGTCCCTGGTGATCTACAGGCCAAGGTAGTGCTACAGCTCACCAAGGTCTGTGCAAGTGTGTCTCCTGTGCAGTTCCTCCTTCACGGAGGCCAGCGCGCGTCGGTCGGGAGTGGCGAACGCGAGGTCGTTGACATAGACCAAGACAAAGAACGGGGTCGAGCCACGGCGAACGAATAGTGACGGGTCAGCAGACGATGGAAAGAAGTCAAGCGCAGCAAGGGTCGAGCGAAGTGTGTCGTGCCACTCATGTGGAGCCTGACGCAGGCCGTAGACTGGTCGGCGCAGCTGCCACTGGGTCCCACGTGGGAAAGAGCCAGTGAAGCCAGGCGGGCGACACAGCCAGATCTGCTCGTGCAGGCTCCTCTGAAGGAACGTGGTGGAAAAGTCCAAGGAGTGCAACTCGTAGTCGCGCTGTACAGCAATATGCAGCAACACCCGAAGAGTACTTATCTTTAGGGTGGGAGCGAAGGTCTGGAAGAAGTCCACTCCCTCTCGCTAACTGAAGCCTCTCGCCACATAGCGCGCCTTGAACACGGGTGGTGATCCAGGCGGCCGCTTCACCTTGTAGAGCCATCGGCCACTGACGACGTTAGTCTAGAGCAAAGATATCAACATCTCGCTTAGGCAAGTCTGCCCAGCGGGGGAGCTCAGGTGCATCAGGAAACTGTGTGCGCCAGGCATCATCAAGACGGGAGAAGCAGCGGTAGTCGGAGTGGAACTTCCCGCATGGCTGTCCAGTGCGGGGACCGGTGCGAATGACATACGGGCAGCAAACAGTTGCCTTTGACGCCCCACGCTGAGCATACCACTCATGAAGCTGCTGGGGTGTAAGGGTCTCGCGCGGACGCTGCTGCTGCTACTGCCTCTTACCACCTCCAGAGCCTCCCCTCTGAAAGGCTCCACCCCGACCGCCACCAGTGCTGCCGCCACCGCTCCCACTGCCGCCACAACCGCCGCTGCCGCCTCCACCACCACCACTCCCACGGCCGCCGCCTCCGCCGCCTCCACTCCCACTGCTACCGCTACCGCCGCCACCGACGCCTCCACTCCCGCCACTACTCCCACCGCCACCTCCGCCACCTCCACCACCCCCGTCGCCTCCACCACCGCCCCCCCCTCCACCACCTCTACCACTCCTGCCGCCCCTACCCTTGCCGCTGCGGCGCTTCCCACTAGGAGCAGAAGCAGCGCCGACCTCCTCAGCACCAAGGAAGTCAACAACAGCAGCAGAAGCATTGGAGGGGGCAAGGGGAGAGGAGTAACACCCCTCAAAGAGGGGAGTGCGAGGAGTGCCACGAGCAGCACCTACAGCAACAATGCTCTTCTCTGCTGCAAGGAGGTGCTACTCGAAGTCGTCAACAGTGAGGGCGGTAGGGTCGAGCGCTAGAAAGTGGTCCCTGATTGTACGAAGGGAGTCAGGGAGGCGGGTGACTAGGAAGTAGAGCGTGATGTACATCGAGGGTGGGTTCGCGGCTAAGAAATCGGCTGAGAGAGCGGCACGGTAGCGAACGTCACTAGCGCGAAGGTGGGAGATGAGGTCCTCAACTGTGGCAAAGGAGGACAGCTCGGGGAACAGGTAGGGCAGGAAAAGGCGGCTGAGAGCAGCAGTGGCAGGGGAAGAGTAACGAGCGAATACAGCGGTGTACAGATCCTTAGCGGTCTTGTGCTGGCCGAAGTGAGCACGTTCTGCTAATGGCAGATAATTGCGAATAGTTAGGCGAGCAGCTGCGTCACGGGTCTGCCAGTGTGAACGAGAGAGGCTGTCAGCTGTGTCGGGAGGAGCAACTGAGGAGCCAGACGCGTGGTCAAACACAGAAACTCCGTCTTTAGCATCGGTCATGAGGAACAGCTGCAGGTCATCTAGCCACGTGGCGAACTCTATCGGGCGGCCGTCAAGGTCGAAGGTAAGGACATTGAGCGTAGCTATGGCTGCAGCGAGTGCACGGACAGCAGAGACGGCGCGCGCGCAGCAGAGGCAGCGCGCAGGCAGTAGAGGCGGCGAACTGGCAGGCAGAGGCGGCACGTGGGCGGCAATGGCAGGGCGCGGGCCGCAAGGGCTGCAAACTAGCGGCGCGCGGGCAGGAGCAGCAGGGCAGCAGAGCAGCAAGGCAGTAGCAGTAGCTTAGCAGCAAGAGAAGTGCACCAACAGTAGTTCAGTAACAGTAGTGTAGCAACAGCAGTGTAGTAACAGCAGTGCAGTAAAAGCAGTGCAGTGACAGTAGCACAGGCGGCAGTAGGGGCAGTGCAGGTGCGCGCGCGGCAGAGCAGGTGCGCGCGGGCCTGGCGCGGGCTGTACGGGCTGCACGCGGACCTGGCGCGGGCTGTACATGCCGCACGTGGGCCTGGTGTGGGCTGCACAAGCTGCATGCGGGCCTAGCACGGGCTGTGCGGGCCGCGAGCGGGCCTTGCGCGGGTCGTACGGGGTGCGCGCGAGCCTGGCACGGGCTGCACAGGCTGCGCACGGGCCGCGCGCGGGCAGTAGGGGCGACGCGCGGGTGGCGCGCGGGCTGCACTTGTGGAAAATAGAACGAGAATGAATGAACTATGAGTGAAGTGAGTACAAATAGCAAAACCCTAATTGGGTTGTACCCCCTATGGGATACCCCACTACAGCCTACACAACAGCATAAGCTACATATATGTTCTGACACACCCCCATAGGCAAAGTGGGGGAGAACAAGGGGTCACAAGACCAGTCAAGCAAAGCAAAGCAAAGCTCAGGGTGGATCACAAAGTCACCACACAGTCCGAGCACAAGAGCAAGGCCACAAGGCCAGTTCACATGCAGGAGTACACACATATGAATATAAAGCTAGACAAGCAAGAGCAGGTATATATATGTGACAGTACAAGTAAAGTCAAGAGGAGAGCAAGTGAGGCAAGACAGGCACAAGACCCAGCTGGGTGCAGAAGCGCTGATGGTCACAAGGCGCGAGTGCCTTGGTGAACACATCAGCAGTGTTGGCCTCAGAGGCCACGTACGCAAGCCGCAACTGTCCACGCTGCTGTAGCTCACGAGCAAGGAAGTAGCGAAGAGCAATGTACTTCGTTCTGTGCTCCAGACGCTGCTCTCGACACAAGGCCAGCATGGCCTTGTTGTCTACGTACAGCACTGGAGGAGAACGAGGCGGCTCTCCAAGGTCGGTCAGCAGGTAGGTGAGCCAGCGAAGCTCCTGTGCAGCCATGGCCCCTGCGTAGATCTCAGCCTCACAACTCGAGCTGAGAACCGAAGACGAGCGAGTAGCCCGCCACGAGACAGAGCCGGAGCCAAGGCTGAAGGTGTAACCCTGTGACGACCGCTGCGTAGCCTGGTCGTCAGCCCAAGAAGCGTCCGCGTGACCTGTAAGTACCACTGGACTCCGCCCTCCAAGCACTAGCCCCATGCCCGACGTACTGCACAGGTAGCGAAATACCCTCTTTGCTGCAGCCATGTGCTCTGGTCGGTGTCTCCCAGGAGCAACATAGCGTGCAAGAATGCTAAGAGGGTATGCAAGGTCAGGTCGTGTGCAGGTCATCAGGTACATGAGGCAGCCAACAAGCTCTGGGTACGGGCCACTCGACTCTACGGACTCATCCGAAGGCAGAGCTGAGAGCGAGTGACGAGTAGACAGAGGAGTGGCCTGAGGCGAGGAGTACGTGAAGCCGAAGCGCTGAAGGACCTGCTGCACCATGTGTGACTGAGTCAAGGTAATGGTGCGGCGTGCTCTGTCCCGAGTGATCTGCAAGCCAAGGTAGCTGCGCAGTTCACCCAGGTCTGTGCACGTGTGTCTCTTCAGCAGCTCGGACTTCACGTAGGCGAGTCCAGCAGTGTCCGCTGTGGCAAAGACCAAGTCGTCGACGTACACGAGGATGTAGAACGGCGGCAGTGAAGTGTCGGTGCGCAGAAACAGCGACGGGTCAGCAGTAGAAGGAGCAAACCCAAGGGCCGCAAGCGTAGTCCTCAGTGTGTCGTGCCACTCACGTGGTGCCTGGCGGAGACCGTAGACTGGCCGTCGGAGGCTCCACTGGGTGCCAGGAGGGAAAGTCCCAGTGAAGCCAGGTGGACGGCGCAGCCAGATCTCCTCGTGCAGGCTCCCCTGCAAGAACGCAGTACTGAAGTCGAGAGAGTGAAGCTCATAGTCGCGCTGAGTGGCTATGTGCAGCAGCACCCGAAGAGTGGTCATCTTCGGGGTGGGAGAGAAGGTCTGAAAGTAGTCAACTCCCTGCCGCTGACTGAAGCCACGAGCGACGTACCGCGCCTTGAAGACAGGTGGAGAGCCCGGCGGCCGCTTCACCCTAAAGATCCACATGCCACTGACGATGTTCGCCCCAGGAGGGGGAACCGCGTCAACGTAGGTGCCTGTGGACTTCCAGGAAGCCATCTCTGCATCCATAGCTGCCTGCCACTGAGAGGAGTAGGGACCCTCTACGGCCTCCGCGTAAGAGCGCGGAGTCGGGATGTCTAGTGCACCCGGGTCTCCCTCAGGAGCAAGCAGTACAGACGCGAGATGAGGTGAAGCAGCAGCCAGACACTGGAACTCCTCCTGCCTGTCCTCTAGGACGTCCGTGCCAAGAGCACACTCACCCCCGACGGATGGAGGACAGACAGACGCAGACTCAGCAACAAGACTAGCAGCAAAGTCTAGACGACAGCGAGCAGCAAAGTCGACGAGCTCAGCGACAAGAGCAGACGCAGCAGCGGACTCAAAAGAGGGGTCAGTGACGACAGTAGCAAGCAGACGCGTGACAGTAGGACTGGCAGCACGAAGGGAGTCCGACTCTGGGTCGGTAAGCACAGGAAGGGAGGACTCAGGAGGAGAAGGCAAAAGGGCACGCAGAGGAGCAGTGGACGGACGCAGAGACATCCGGTGCGTGCCAGGGACAGGAGGAGGACGCGGACGCGAACCACGACCACTAGCGCGGGCAGCACGAACAGGCGACGCGGGACGAGACGCAGGCTCACGACGCTCAGCAAGACCTCCAGTAGGACCAGTGTAAGGAGAGGGAGCAGGCAGTGGGGAGGTAGGCTCCAACAGGGACTGCGACTGGACAGGTTGTGGACACCCTACCGGAGGAGAAAGACCAAGAACCTGCTGCAGAAGCGGAACGAAGTACGGCCGAGGCCGCGCGGCAGCTCCAGACTCAGCAGGGACAGCACCAGCACCTTCAGCGGCAGCACCAGCGCCACCAACACCTCCAGCGGCAGGACCTCCAGCAGCACCAGCAGCAGAACCACCGTCAGGACAGACAGCAGCAGACTCAGCACCAACGCCCTCAGCAGCCCCAGCTCCAGTAGGAGGGAGGGGCTCCCGCCGAGACGCAGCACCAGGAGAAACCCTAGGCTCAGCGGCTCCAGACGAGCACCCCCAGGCTCAGCAGCTCCAGACTCAGCACCCCCAGGCTCAGCAGCTCCAGCTCCAGTAGGACCCGCAGAAGGTCTGGCGGATCCCCTGTGCACGACAGTTGTCTCGCAGAAGGCGAGAGGAGAACTCCCCACCTCGGTTAGAGTGCAGACGCAGAACAGGAAAGTCTGAGCCGAAGCTCCTCCTGAGCTGGAGACGAGCCTCGCGGATCCAGTCGATCAGCACCTCAGTGACAGCACCCTTGCTGCGCAAGGGGAAGACTGTGGTGTAACGCGAGTAGTCGTCAACCACCAACAGGAAGTAGCGCTCGTGACCCTGCCCACGGACGGGGGCCGGGCCCCACACGTCCATGTGAAGTGTCTGCAGAGGAGCCTCTGTCGGGGGAAACTGGGAGGAGTGAGGAGCAGCCCTGAGGCGCCCCTCGACACAGGGGACACAAGAAGGTCCTGGTCCCGAAGGAAGGGGAGGGAGAGACTGGGGAAGACCAGAGACAAGGACACGGGAAGCCATGCCCCGAAGACGGGGCAAGGAGGGGTGGCCAAGACGGTGGTGCCACAGGAGAGTCTCGTGAGACAGGAGGCGACACGAACAGGGGGCAGACTCAGGACCAGACCTGGACGCAGCAGCAAACACCTGACCTGACGCTGCTACCTGACCGGACGCAGGGACAGGAGGAGACTCAGTGGTCAGGGTGTAGAGGCTCGACCCCGGCCGACGCGAGAACGTGGCTGGGTGCCGGCGTGTGCGTGCGTCCGTGCAGTGGGTCACCCGCTGACTCGCAGGAGTGAACTGGTGAACCCCCGCATCCTGCAGGTCTGCACCACTCACTAAGTTCGTCGAGAACGAGGGGAGGTACAGGCCAGACAGGGTGCCCGAGGGGGCAGCCGGACACGGGAGGACAGTGGAAAAGTGAGAGAGGACAGGACCCCCAGAGGGGTCAGCCAGGGAGACTGCAACCGGCCGACTAAGCAGCGTGAGTGTGGTGCGGTCCCGAAAGAAGGAGCGAGAAGCCCCAGAGTCAAGTGTAAAGGTGAGGGAGGCCGAAGCCAACGTGGTACCTGAGAGCGCAGCCTCACCCGCACCTGAGGAAGCAGACTCACTAGCACCTAGAGCAGCAGCCGCACCTGTACCTGGAGCAGGAGACTCACTAGCACCCAGAGCAGCAGCAGCCTCACCAGTAGCTAGAGCAGCAGGTCCTATACCCGGGTCAGGCGGTACGCACAGGTGACCGGCACGGTCAGCACTAGTAGGCAATGCATACATGGCAGTGAGAATAGCATCATAGTCAAGAGCAAATATATCTACCCTCTGCCTAAGCAACTCCACCCAGTCGGGGAGCTAAGCCTCGTCGCCAAACACGGTACGCCAGGTGTCGCTCAGACGGGCGAAGCCGCGGGACTGTGTATGACCAGGTGTCCAACAAGGCTGACCAGTCCGAGCACCAGTGAGAATCACGTAAGAGCAGCGAACAGAACTGAGAGACCCTCCACTCTGAGCG